TGGGGAAAATTACAATTCATGTCTCTAGACCTTGCAAAGAACATTGGTTGGCATTGTGCTCCTCCAAAATATTCTGCTAGTCCACTCATGGCCTCTTTGCAATACCCTTGTGTTAAATGTCAAGAAAATATACATCAGATAAATGTTTACACATTATCAACCTGTGTACTCCTTTTCAGCTTCCTAACAGTCTCACAGTATGAAACACTGAATGATATTTCATATTCAAGCTGAATCCAATCCTTCGAGTATTACCTGACACTGAAAACCCTACTATTCCCTGGCACCCAGTCTTCTGGAGAGTTGCCTTTGAGAGTTGCCCTCACTGGAGGAATGAGTATATGATCCTTCCTAGAGGCAAAGATGTCTTGGTGTGCCGTCTTCAGTTACGTGGCTACCGGCCCAAAATGGTCCCAGCTCACCAAATGTTCAGTGACCTTTCTCAGCCAGAGCACCCTCTAAATTTACTTTCACTTGACTGAAGCCTTCTTTCTTACAGACCTAGACTTCTCTGAGGCCTGCTTTGCCAACTGGCTTAGCCATTCCTACCCATAGATCAGTCTGAACGATAAATGAATGAAAACAAATGCTTCTGTTTGAAAGGATTTCCTGGGAAACAAATGTCATTTATAATGTCACCAAACAGGCAACTCATAATACAACGAAACAGAACTTTGCTTAACCAGATCAATTTTGTCATTAATGTGGAAAAAGCTTATACTTGGAACACTCTCTCCCTAAGGATTTGCTGAAGCCAATACCTTTGAAGATTCCACATAACTTATGAATTTTCCTCTAATTTCATGTAATAACATGTTCTCTATGAGATGATAACTGAGCATGAAATTTTTTTAATGGGAACTAACAACCTAAAAAACACTGAGCACAAAACCATATTCTCCTTGTTGGTATCCAAATAGACATGTGCTATATGATTAAGGGTGCCAAGCAATGGAATAAGAATCTTGTCTTCTGTGTTTATTTATATTCCTAGCACGCTGTTGGAAAGAAGTAAAAACCTGCCAACAATTACGCATACTACCCAGAAACTCTATATGTGACAATATTTACAAAGAGCATTTTTTTCCTGATAATGTGAATGTTGCTAAGTCCAGCTGTTGGCACTATGTACTTTCTCCCTTAGAATAAGCTGAAGTGATTAAACGAGCTTTCCAAGCAAAATCCAGGACAGAAGTACCCGAGGAAGCCATACTCAACTGAGAAGCTCTAATCCAAACCCCAACGGATCTTTTCTTTTTTTTAATTTTTTTTTTCTTTTTATCCCCAAAGACCCCCGGTACATAGTTGTATATTCTTAGTTGTGGGTCCTTCTAGTTGTGGCATGTGGGATACCGCCTCAGCATGGCTGATGAGCGGTGCCATGTCCATGCCCAGGATCCAAACTGGCAAAACTCTGGGCTACCTCAGCGAAGCGTGGGAACTTAACCTCTTGGCCATGGGGCCAGCCCCCCCCACTGATTTTCTATCAAGGTAAAAATAATGGGGATTGAAATGCAGGTCAAGACTACAAGATACCCCAGTACACCTACTTGACTGGCAAAATCAATGCTGACAATACCAAGTGTTGCAAAGGATACAGGTCCACAAAATCTCTAATTGCCGGTGGGAGTATGAATTGGTACAACTGCTTTGGAAAATAGTTTGGCATTACGTAAGGTGAGTATTCACACTCTCCACAACCCAACGATTTAACCCAAGAGGAACTCCTGCACGTGTACAAGAATTTTCACAGTCACCCATCAAGAAGAAAATGCATAAAGAAAAAGTGGGACACTCACATCCTGGACTGTTACAAAGCAGTCAAAATAAATACCCGCAAAATCATACACAGTTGAATAAATATCCTTTTTTATAAAGCTAAAAATGGTTGAAATGAAAAATATGCTGTTTAAAATTTCACGTAGATGAGATAAAACTAAATAAAAAGGAAAGAAAGGGGAGGGTGACCAGGATTTGGGGTGGTGGTTATCCTGGAGGGGGGCAGGCTGGAGGATGAGATGGAGGAGGGAGCACAAGAAATATGTGCCCATATTTTCTCCAAAGAAATTTCTCCAAACACCAGGCTTCACTTAGTTTAAAAAAAAAAAAAGAATGGTCTTTCCAAAAGGGAAGCTAGCAAGAGAAATGGCTCTGATTCCTTCTCCAACAGTCACATCAGCCCAGCAGGTAAACCTGATTCTACCTGGCCCCTAAGGAAAGGAGATCACAAATAAAAATTCTTTTACTCTGTTTTCAGCTCACAAGCACCTGAATCTTGCCTCCATTCCAGCCACACACACTTGGAGAACCAGTGAGGGCTAGGGGTGTGGGGAAGGTGGGAGGAGATAACACACACATGGTACTGGGCACAGACGGAGCCCCAGATAACCCACCCTGCTGCTGTCAGGATTACAAGCCATGGGCCTGGAGGGTGCTCAGTTCTTGACCTCAGCAGGCAGGATGGCCATGCCTGGTCTGGAAGGCAGGATTCAGATCAGAAGCAAGAACAGGAGAGCAGTGTCAAACACCTGAAGTGCCGGGAGGCATGAGGAAAGGCAGACCCAAGTGTTTTCCAGAAGGCAGAACTGGAGTACAGGGAAGAAGTGGCGATCTTGGCTGCACCTCAGAAGGGCCTTTTCTGCACACGGAGACTCACTCATCTCCAGAAGCATTTAGGCATAGCCCACAAACTGGGGGCCTCTGGGTAAGCCACCGGAGCTCTTTCATTATGCCTCAGTTTCCCTTCCAATAAAATGGGAATGAGGACATCTTTGAGACTGGCCTCACATGGGACTAAACGAGAGCACTGTTCCTGTGCAAATGTCAGGAGTCATGCATTCCACCCAGGCAAGTCAAGCAATAATCTTGCCCATCTTGGAATCTAAAAATGTCCCAAAATAAAACTACCAAGTTGGACTACACAAGCACACACACAAGAAACTTGTCCTATCCCTTCCTCCCCTAAACCAGTTTTTGTCCCCACAACCTTAACAGCAAGCAATAAGAATCTTCCTTAGTTACCTGGAGAATCTGCACATTTGAGATTACCTTGAAATCAGCCAACTTTCTACACAGAGTTATTTTAGGAAAAGAAGACAGGACATCTTCACTCTTCCAATTAAAGTAAAACAACAAACATGCATGAGGTCAGGTTTTGCTTTCACTAGAACTAGGCCTTCTTGCCACTGTGGGACACTATACTTGTAAATATTACCTTGACCTCTACAGGTTAGTAGTACCTGATAAAATACAGATAACTCAGAAATGCTGAACTCAAGGATGAGTGGGCAGAAGGACACACATCTGGGACAGGGACAGACTTTGGAGTACAAAAGGCCCAGGTCAGAATCTCTCTCTGCTGCCTGCTGGGCTGGTGACTTCGGACAAGCTATGTCCCTCTGTCAAATCTCAGAACCCCTCATTTATACAACAGGACAACCCTGGAACCCAACTCACAGTGTGCTTGTGAGGATAAAATAAGTGAATGTAACATAAAACAGCGTGTGTGGTCCACAGCCGACAGGCCCCATGTATTACGTCCCTTGCCTTTAAGAAGACAGAGTGACACTTATTTCTAGCAAATCACTGATGATCCCTATCATTGCCTGTTTTGGTAAAATGTTTACTTACCTGACAGAGGATGGCAAGTGAGATAAAGACACTGTTTGGAAAGGATCCCTTTTTGCTTAGTTGCCTAACTCTAAAAACATTACACTCAGTGTGATCTGTATGATACAACCGAGTGGGCCGAGGGGCACGAAGACAGCACATGAGAAGGGCGCATAAGAAACACATGTCAGCTTTCTCCTTTGCCAGGAATTAAACACAGTGATCTCCGTTTTGGAGTGGGAACCATCACTTAAGTTTAGTGGAGCTCCCAAATTCTCAGAGACATCATAGACTCAACCATCCTCTAGAGGCTATGTTCCAAAAAAGGCCAGGAAGGACCATATAAATCCTATGGTAGGTGACCTGAAGGGATACAGCCTGGCCAAGTGAGGTGAGAAAGGTGACCTGAGTTTCAGCAAACAGCAAAGTAGGGCCCGCCTGTTTGCAATGACAATGGAGCAGCATCACCTGGGAACTTTCAGAAATGCCAAATCTCAGGCCCCTCCTAGACCCACTGCAGCAGAAACTCAGCAGGGGGCCCAGCACTCTGTGTCAACAAGCCCTTCAGGGAATTCTGATGCTCACTCAGGTTTGAGACCAATGGCACAGAGTGACCTGAGAGCTCAGAGTTTAAGCCAGCCATCCCCAGGGAACATACCAAGGCAATAGCCAGTGAGGAAGGAGAGAAAGCCTTCAGCATCTTTCCTCCTTTCAATCAATGTTGGTGGGCAGACAGTGTTAGCTATCTCACTACTGGACTTCAACTTGAATCCCATGCTGCTTCTGGGATAAGAAAGGTCACAGTGGGATGCTTCCTGGTTATCCACAGAATGCCAAGACGGGCTCCTGAAGGGTAGGAGCTGAGTCTGATACATCTAGGGGGCTGCTGTGCCCAGCCCAAGGTCTGGCAACCAGCAGGCATCAGGAAAGGTGGGAGACAGAGAGACCAACTGAGGAGGGAACAGGCAGCCCTTCTCATGAGTGGATCCCAAGGAATGAACAAGGTTACTGTCCCCCTCAATCCCTAACACAATGATCTTAGCTCCTAAACCAGAAAGCTCCTGAATTAAGGAGTTGGGGGGCTGACTGTGACTTGCCACCCCAGGTCCCACAACTACCAACACTAGAGGGGCCCTGAGACCCCAGATAACTCCCTCACTCCCTAAACCCAAGCGTGCCAGAGGTGATGTCCACAGGGGGCTCTCATGCCAGAGGCCAGCACCCCAGCCCTTGGAGGCTGGCCGGAGGCATTATTTCTCCTTACTAGAGGGCATGTTCCCAAACAACCCTAGGCTAGTGGCGGTGTCCTCCAACCCTGGATGTCCTCTCTCACCATCACTGCAGCATCACCACCCTCCAAACTCAGATGCCCCACCCTGACACTTGCATACCTGTAATAAGACAGCAGGCCATTGCTGAGCACGAACCAGCGGCGCTGGTAGCCCTTCAGGTAGTTGGTCCACTTGAGGAGCCAGCCCTTCAAGCTGTCCAGAGGCAGTTCGACCGTGGGGGCAGTGGAGGTCCTAGCAGCCCCTGACATTGGAGACCCAAGAGACGTCCTCACGTGTCCCGGTCGCAGAAGAGGCAGAGGCTTTGGCTCAGATTTGGTCAAGGACACGCGCCCCACTGTTGGCTCCAGCGCTGGTAGCTGCTCGGATGAGCCCTTTGTGAGTGGCCCAGCACCTACACTTGAGCGCAACTCTTGCCGTGGCCCTGACCCCGTCCCCAACCCCCTGCAGCGGTTCCGATTCCTCTTTGGACCCTGGCGTTGGCTCAGACGTCTTCTCGGACTCAGGCTCCGATCTTGGCACCGGCTCAGAAGCTGGCTGTGACACCTGTTCTGACACCGGCTGAGGCACAGGCTCGGGCACTGGCTGGGGCTGAGGCTTGGGCTCCGGCTCGGAGCCGGGTGTGGAAGCGCTCATGCTCGGCGCCGCCGTGTGGCAGGACAGGCAGGGGACAACCGTGAACAGCGACGAGAGCCCACGGGAGCGGCCACCGAAGCCGCCGCCTCTGCACAGAGCGGCCGCTTTCCCCATAGAGCCGGCCGACCGGAGCGCGGCCGCGTCGAGGGGAGGGGGGAAGCGGGAGGCGGAGGCCGGGGGCGGGGCCGGGGGCGCCGTCAGGGGCGCGCGGCGCGAGGCGGGGGCGCGCGCAGGTCCCTCCGCCGCCCGGTGCCTCCTGCGCCCGCTGGCTGTTGCCCGCCCAGCGCGCAGCAGGCAGGGCTTGGACTTCTGTCCCTCTCGCGTCGCCAGCGCCCCGGTCAGGGTCTGGCCCTTGAAAGCGCCGTGGAAACACCTGGGGGTGAGAGCTTGGCAGGAGGGCGACGCGGAAGGGACGGCGCGCTTCAGGCCACCATCCCTGCCTGTGCCCCAACCCGTGCCAGGCGCTGGAGGAACAATGATGAATGCGGAGCCCGGTGGCTCCCAGCGCAGCTCTGCGGGCGGGGTCGTGCGCCGGCGCTCCCCCATCCGGGGTGGGTTCGCTCCCCGAAACCCAGGAAAGCGGGGGTGGGGGGTGCAGGTGCTGTGCTTACAGATCACCAAATGCTCCCGAAGCACAGGGTTCCGGCCCGGCCGGATGACACTAAAAGCTGGGGAAGAGGCCCACCGTCCCCCATGGCAGCCATTACCTGTCTGTGGGTGCTTCCCGTGGCAATCTGGCTCAGTGGCCCGAAACCACAGCTGCCTCCACTTCCTAGGCCAGCTGGCCTCTGGTTCACTGCCAGGGCACTTCGCTGCAAGTGGCGACATAGTTTAGGCTCTCTAAACGAACAGAGAAAGAGTTTTTGTAAACCGAGTTATAGTACAACAAGGAACACATCTAAAAGCGGAGTTCTTAACTTGGGCCTCCTAGATATCCCTGAGTAATCTTGGCTGGCGGTCTGTGAAGCTTCTGCAATAGTCTACGGAGTTCTACGTGTCTATGCAGTTTTCTGGGGAGAAGGTCCATAGTTCTAACGGGATTCCCAAAGGAGTCTATGATCCTAGAAAGGTTAAACATCACAGATTTTAAATAATCTATCCTACAGGGAAAAGCGGATGGTTACCACAAATAATCGGAAACACAAGTTGAAAGGTTGGATATTAGGCTTCTACTCAGACCCTTCCAGCTCTAGACCTCTATGCAGGCTCCCCCTGCTCATCCTAACGTGTCTTACCTCCCCTTACCCACTGTTCATTCCTGATCTTTGCTTGTGACAAAGTTACCTGTGCAGGGACCTGCCTCCTACATGAAGTGATGGCAGGAGCTGAGCAGACTTTAAGGTCCTAGAAACAACAGGTGCAGACACTCCCCTAAGCAGGAGTCCCTGCCATCTTTGCTGGTGACTCGGGGACCCCTTTCTGGGGCACCTGCCCCTGAACGGTGGTCTTACCTGCAGTTTCGCTGTGAGCTCTGGAGTGCAGAAACCTGCCCATTTGGGTCTAGCCCATAAGTACAAAGGTGGTTCTCAAATTTCAGTGTGTTGAGTCACCCCAAGGAAAAGTGATTGCCTCTTTGCAGCAGGTAGGGGAGAACTGGGCAACTGGAGAATGGAGTGGGCTGCTTGCCTTTCACTTATACTCTTTTGAACCTTTTGAATGTTTTAACTGTTTCAAAATAATAATAACTGTTTCAAAAATAATAATAATTGTTTAAAATCATTCTAGGGAAACATTAGAAATTTAGTTTTCCATCCCCATCTCCCTGGGATTCTGAGTCAGTAGGTCTGAGGTGGAATCCAGGCATGCATTTTAATGAGCTCCCTGGGCATTTCTGATGTGGGTGGATCATGGACCACATTTGATGGACAGTGATATGGAGGGAAAATCTTGGGCTTTAGGAGTCAGATGCACTAAAGAAATCCTAGTCCAGCCACTCCATAGCTGTGGGACTTTCAGCCACCTCACTGAGCTTCCTCTTGCTCATCTGTAAAATGAGTATAATAATCCCTACCTCACAGGTTGAGAATAATAAAATCATGTATGTAACGTACATTTGATAGTAGATGCTCAGTAAATATTCTCTGGTGATGTATCTAGAGGGTGCTCGGTGAAATGTTTGGTGAAACGAATTAAACAGAGACCAGAGCAGAAAGAGATGAGACCAAGGTTGACATGCTTGGAAAACAGGCACGAAAATGGGAAAAGCTCAGGGCCTGCTATGTATGTGCCAGACATGTTTGCAACCCCAAGGAGGGAAGCCATCTAGCAAACAAATGCTTAATGCTATGTTTTGACTGCTGCAACAAACGGATGACAGGGCCTAAGTCACCTGCCAGAGTGGGTGAATGTGTCACAGGAAGGGCAAGGTTTGCACTGAGTCAGAGGGACAAGGAGTAGAAGGGCATTCAAGGCAAAGGAATCAGCATGCATGAAGTCCCAACTCAGGAGAGAACACCTTGTCTGGGAAATGAGAGAGCTCAGCATCTAGCTCTGGGAATTAGATGGACACCACACTATCAGAAGTATCCTTTATCCTACAGAAAGTGGGCCTCCTGGGCACAAGGGAGACTTTTCACTTTTAAAGTGCCAGATTCTACCAGTTGGAGAAGGGCTGACTGCAGATGTGGTGCAGGAAATATGCCAGATGAGCCTGCCTGAGACATTTTGTCATGCCAGAAAGTAACGAGGCTATTCAAGACCACTGTGTGTCAAAAGGATTCAAAGGCCAACTTAAAGGGGCTCCCACTGACCAAAGGGACAATTTGAGCATGAAAAGGAATAATGATTAAAATGGGTCAAAACATCAAATATATAAGATCCATAAGTTGAACTCAGAAGTTCCTAAAGTTACAAAAAGAAAAAACAAAACAAAAAAACCCACATGGGTCACCTCTGGAGGTTACTCCAACACTAACTCATTATTTTGAAAACTGATAATAAAGGGAAAGAATTAAGTCTGTACCCTATATCTCATAGTAACCAAGGAGTTTATGATGGGAAAATCTTTATAGAAGAATTTGCTAATAAATGCAGAAGAAATGACAAAATTAGAAGACAACATTATCTTTTGGCAACCACTGATGAAGTAACAGATCTAGGCAATGATAGCTTGCAGGTGATGGGGTTGATGGGGAACCTCATAAAGGACAGATGAGGCTGACATCAGCTGAATCTACAGATTGATCTTAGCGTCACCAAAAGTGCAATGACAGGACACTATGTGCCTCTGGATGTGACCCAGTAGGAAACACCTATCTCTGCCTGTGAAGTACTTTTACTTCTCCCCTCCCCAACCCTCCAAAAAGACCCCTAAACCTGAATCTAATCAAGCTTCTAGCGTGACCAACATAAAAGAAATGCAGAGCACAGAGGAATATGCTAAATGACCCAAGAAGTCAATCAGCCAAATCCATAAAATAGGAAAATCTATATTCAAATTACTTGTTTTATTCAACAAATACATGGCCTAGGGAAAAAAGATGGGAATAGAAAAATGTTATCAATTTTAAAAAGACATGTCAACCAGATGCAATATGTAAACCATGTTTGGATCCTGATTCAAACAAACCAACTGTAAAAAATACCTTTCAGAGATAATTGGGCAATATTGAACACAGATTGGGTTTTAGAGAGTAGTAAGAAATTATTGTGTTATATGTGTTATAATGGTATTGTGATTGTTTTTTTAAGGCTTTATCTGTGGAGATACATTCTGACATATTTATGGGTGAAATTATATGATATACTGGATTTGCTTTAAAATAGTCCAAGTTTTTTTTAAAAAAGTGAGGATGGAGGGTAGATGAAAGAAGAATGGGCAGGTGTTGATGTTAAAAGTGGGTGACGGGTACATGTGCATACATTATATTGTTTTCTCTGCTTTTGTGTATGTTTGAAAATTACCATAAAAAGCTCTTGTTTTACAAATGTTGGGCCTTTTACAAACCTCACCTCCTACCTTTTTATTTTTTTATTTTATTGAGGTCACATTGGTTTTTAACTGTGTAAATTTCAGTTGAATATCATTATATTTCGGCTTCTGTATAGACTGCATCATGTTCACATGAAAAGTCTACTTTCCATCCATCACCAGACACATGTACCCATTTACCCCTTTTACCCAACACCTTCCCCTCTGGTACCCACCAATCTGTTCTCCTTATCTATTTGTTTCTTTAACTTCCACATGAGTGAAATCATATAGTATTTGTCTTACCTGTACAACAACCTTGTAAGGTCCATTCATGATTTGTTTTTACACAAGAGGAAAGTGAGGATCACAGAGCTAAAGAGGCCTGCCCAGAATCACACCTCGGGCAAACGGGGAACCAAGATTCAAACAGAAGGTTCTTTAGCCCCAAAGTCTGTCCACTTGTGCAGTAACACAATAGACACCAGATCCCTCCCCACCCCACCCCCCCAAAAGAAGCCCTGCTAGGCTTCCCCTAAGGACCTTAGGAGCAGGAAAAGCTAAAGTGTGACAAGCAGTGAAGGCCCTTGTGGGCTGGACGGCTCTGGGACAGCTGATCCAACCTCACACTGCAGAGCTGGTCACAGCATCTCTTCCACCTGAGGTCAGCCCTGTGAGATGGCAGGGACAACTGTCCCCATATGTCTGAGTTCAAGGTCACATTGCTAATTGGATAAGAACCCAGGCCTTCCAGCTCCTATGGGCTTTCACTCAAAATCTAGACAGATTCCCCTACAAGCTTGTGGCCAGAGCTAACAAATGTAGATGCTGATTTGTGTCTCATTTTACCAAGGAAAGGAGATTCACGAGCTAAGAGGGAGGCAGGGCAGTATGTAGCTACGAGCACAAGTTTACAAGGCAGGCCTCGGTTCAAATCCCAGGGTGGCTGCTTTCTGGCTATATGCCCCTTAGCTAGTATCTTGTAAAACGAATTGGTGTAAGTTTCCTCTGCTCTTACACAATTAGGTCTGTCTTACCTCCGGTCCCTTTGCTAAATGAGAATATCTGGCTGGAAGCTCTGTGTGGGGCAGAATCATAAACAGCAGTCAGGAGGGCTCTATTCTGTGGTGCCAACATCCACACTGCAAGCCCTAGCTGCCCTCAGATATTTAATTCAATTGCTTCAGAGAAGAGCCATACTGTTTTCTGCTTGGGAGAAATGTTACCTGCACTTTACAAAGCTGAGTGTCGAGAAGGGTAGGGCGGCTGTCTCCCCGCCCCCGCCCTAGGTTGTGTGTGAGTCTATGTTTACTGTATACTGAGTAGATACAAAAGAATATTGCAAAATATATGTAGTGCATACGAATAACCATACAAGACACCCATGGGGTCACTAACCAGTTTAAGGAATAAAATCCCCCATTTTAGTTCCCTGTCCTCCCTTCTACCCTCTTCTGTAACCTGTTGACTTTAAGCCCAAAGACTCCCTGGGTTCTTTCAAGTCAACTGGCTCCCACCTCCTTTTTAGTTGGCTAAGAGAATGATTTCAGGCGCTGCTTCCACCTGTTTCATTCACCAAGCGCGCTCATCCTCTTTCTATACTTACTGAAATCTCTCCTTCATCCGTGATCTATCCCTATCTAAAATTGAAACACCCCCAGCATGGCCTTCCCAAGCCCTCTTAACCATTTTCCTTTTCTCCCAGCATTTGTCACTTTTTTTTTTTTTAAAGGTTGGCACCTGAGCTAACAACTGTTGCCAATCTTCTTTTTTTTCCTGCTTTTTCTGCCCAAGTCCCCCCTAGTACATAGTTGTATATTTTAGTTGTGGGTCCTTCTAGTCGTGGCATGTGGGACACCACCCCAGCGTGGCCTGATGAGTGGTGCCATGTCCGCATCCAGGATCCGACCCAGCAAAACCCTGGACCACC